CAGCCCCCCCCCCCCCTTCCCCTCACCCCAAATAAAATAAATAATAGTGAATGGAAATCACACATGCGTGCAGCCAGTGCAGCCGCGCAGACACCACCACCACATTCAGCATGCTATGCTACGCACAGATACACAAGAGACATGCCCACTGCCCAGGAGGCTAGCTTTAGCATGCTAGGTGGCGCGCTAGCTCGTTGACCTGATTATAAATATTAGCATTAGCACAACGGGAGCATAGCAACACACTGAGGCCAGCCACTGGGTGATGTGGGCGCAACGCTGAAGTCAAGAATTAAAAAATAAAAGGAGACGTTGCTCGGCGTATCCGAGGATGTTTACCTTGCTTTGTAACGTGTGTGTTTGTTTCTGATGTGGATTTTAGCGCTTGTCCGCCATTTTTCTCTCTCTACACGATGAGGAGGGGGTGTTTTGCCAACATTTCTTGTTGGGCAGTCAGTCAGACAGACCGGCAAGCTGAAGGCTGGAAAAGGGACAAAACAACGACACCTGGTGGCCAAACCATGGTATTTCACGCAGGAGGGAAAAAACAATATTAATGTAAAAAAAAAATTGATGGTTTTTTTTTTCTATTTTAGCCCCAGGGTAAACAAAAAATCTATCTGACATCCCAATTATCTTTTACTTTGCAATACCAAAACATCTACTGTGCTTGCATAATATGTAATACACAGTGCAATTTTGTGCAATAGCATGTAACTACATAATATTCCTGTATAAGCAGGCTGTATACTGTACAGCCTACATACACAAGTTGCCAGTTTGTTGGTACAATTTAGATACAACTAATGCAGTCTAATACAACAGCCCTGCCATAAATTATACATCCCATGAAGGTTATAATGTTTGAGAGGTGTTGTTTCAACTTTGTGGTCATTTTGGAAGCTGCAATTTGGCAAAATTAAGGTAACTTATTACATTATAGCCCTGCTGAGGTGTAATTTCTTGCTACTAATCCGCTGACACATACACCAGTACCAAGCTATTTGCAGTAAGCTAATGCCCACATAAAAATATTGATACTGATACATTTATTCCAACATGTTATGAACCCTCTTCCACGTATTACAACCTTGTATGCACAGTTTACAGTGACAGTTTTTGTATGTAGAGTCGTTCTATCTGTTGTTTATATAAAGAGTATGCATCTCAACTTGTCTGCAGATACAATAGTAGCTATATGTTTATGTTTCCTTATCTTTGTTCAAAGTCTTTGTCATTGTTTATGTCTGAGAGAGTAAATACAGTGAGAGCTACTGGAAACTGGAATCAGATTGCTTGTATGCTTAACTCTATGTGGCAAATAAAGCTAATATTTATTCTAATAGCGTCAGTGGATCTTAATGATGAGTAAAGGGGATTTTTAATATCCTTTTGTAACCAAAAAGATCTTGACATTAGGAGATGTTCATAAACAAGCCTGTATATAGAATGATACATCAATTAAGGTTTAAAACAAGTTATGGGAATCAGTTTTGTTTTTTAATGATTATTTTAAATGTGCATGTCCTTAAACATAGTTACACCAAAAAACACATACTGTGATTTCATTTCAATTATGTATTATATCTTATCTAACAAACAGTTTCCAGAAGTCCAACATGCATAGCTGAGACTGCTGAACAGCTCATAAGAATGCTGCAGAAACTGAGTTTTCAGTTCTTATTGGAGCTCTTTGATTTGAAATAAAGGTTCATTAATAGTAAGCAGTCATTTTATCACACGTTAATAACCATGATCATTCATTTATTGCAAGAATATTAAAGATGAATAAAAATGGAATTTTAGTAAACGTTGTTATTGCAGCATTACTGCCGAACAGAGTGCTGCTCTAGTTTCATTTAAACTGTGCTCTAGTTTTGGGTGTTTGACTAAAAATCTGGGGTATTTGCCTTGAGCATCACATGAATACAATTTGATTATCAGTGCACACAAAGCTTAACTTATTAACCATATTTGTTCCAGTTAGGATGATCATAACATTCTACACAGAATTATTGCAACACCAAAATGTACTAGAGAAATTTAATATTTCAAACATAATCCACGCTCCCAGTGAAATCTGAGCAAAAATATCACTTACAATATACTTGCAGTACAGTAATAAACCTGGCACAGTACAATATCTCTACAATATTCTAGATAAATTGTGTAGGTGTGAAAATTAGAAATAGGGGCCATTTGGTACTGCCATGCCAATTAGGTCTGGGTAGCAAGTCTAACTATGTGATTTGGAGAAACCCAGCAGTTCAATTGTGTGTAATGGTCACCTGGCAGCACTGCTAATGCCCATTTCAGCCTACGCTGGGCAAGCCATGGCCCAGTGGCCCCCTGCACCCCAGGCAATTATGTTTGGTTTCACACGGTGAAAAGGGTTAATTGGCAGCGCCCACGCGCCTGATTGGACCTGTTTCACGCCTGTCGGCCTTCATCGCATCAAAGGAAGCCCCAGTCCACTAGGCACCATTATTAGAACACACACACACACTCCCCTTGTGGATACACATTGTCCACAGACTCTGGTCTTAAATCTAATGTTCTTATGATTGTACGTATGTGGAGGAATAAACACATATAACCTACATACACAGTATTAACAAACACACACACGCGAAACAAAAATACACACACATTCCCAGACAGAAACACATTCATACAGAAATACTGCACCGTACTTAAATATTCATCATCTTCATGTAGAGACATAAATGTGTTTTTACTTGCATGCACACAGACATTATGCAAATCACTTTCTGGATGATCCTAACTAATATCACTAGGGGTCAGTGTTGTTTAATACAAAACAGGACCAGATCATTCTGCCACTTTTCTCTCCCCACACTCATTTCATCATGAAGATTTTGTGCTTTCGTCTGATCACAGCACAGTAACACTGGTCATTTTTGCCGCTCACTATCTTCTTTAAACTCTCAAACTTTATTCTAATGATCACTGCGTTTCCTTTCAATCAAGATTTTTCCCCGTTTATTATGTAAAATAAAATTCTTTGGTTTTGTTTCCTTTTCAGACAGTTCTGTTTCAGATGTGTTTCAGGACTAATCATATTCTAGTTTCTGCCTGAGTTACTGTAATTATAGGCAAACCAAGTGTCGTGTGGTGAAGTCATGCCTACCGTATATTGTGTGCCTGTCTGTTTGTCAGGGTCTCCATGTGGTTCTAGTTTTTTTATTAATAAGGCTTCAACCACTGAGCTACCAGCAGTCTATGAAAGTCCATCAGCCATTATACAAGCGAGTTTGACAGGCAAATAACAACACTGACAATGTGTCCCATCCAACAGTCTGCTGTAGTACAAATCATGCCTTCCCAAGGTTCAACAAATTAGACATACAAAACACAAAATGTTTCCATGAAAGAAAAACTCATTGATGCAGTAAAATCACCATAAACATTAAGAACAGCAAAGAAAAGGACACAAGGAGAGATATACAATATGTGACTGTAACCAGACGATAGAGCCAAGCTTTTGATAAAGATATTACAAGATATAAGATAAGATGAGCAATATATGTTGGTTCTTATTTTTCACAATATTTTGAGGGTTGAAAGACACTGAAAAAGTCTTGCAAAAAGCTGATTCCACCAACTCAAAACACATGCAAATCATTTAAAGAAAATTGCACCATTTGATTTGCAGATGCAAAAGCCTTTGATCGCTGTCATCAGAAGAAATTTCAGAGGTAATTTCCTCTTATCTTGTTAGCACGGTTCCACAGATACATATAACACAAATATACAAAGAGCCTGTAAATGCACAATTTCGAGACAGACCCATTGTGTCAATGCAAATGTAAACTCTCATATTAGTGTTTGCTCTTTTCTTTTGGCAGTTTTCGGACTGAAATGTCTTACTTGCTCTTTTTATTTTATCTCACTAATTGAATCTGGCTCTCTTAGCTGGCAGTGTGTTTTTGGATTTCCAAACATGTTGCTGTAGGTGTCCACTAGCCAATGGCATGGCTCCACCGCCGTGATCTTTTTCTGCACATACAGACAGTACAGCAAGGATCTTTTCCCACTGTGCCTCCTTGTCACTTTCAGCACTTTGGCACGCTCCAACAAAGTCGCCCCTCTCGCACATACACAAATACCCAGACGCGCACACACATACAAGCACATGTACACACAGTGAGAGTCAGATTGCGTGTGTTCCTTCCCGACTGTGCCTCAGAGGACTCTCCGCTTGTTCCACAGACGAGGACATGCATGTGCACACACACAAACACGAAGTCCTGATACACACTTCCCATCTCTGCTGGCATCCTGGGAGGGACGTGCAAGAGAGAGAGCAAGAGCATATGTTGGATAGACGTTTGTTGAGGGGGGATATTTCTCTTTGGATGTTGTCTTACAAGCTCTGACGGCGTGGCGCAGAAAGAAGGCATTTTTTCGTCCAATTTATTAATCCTTTTAGGCAATGTTCTCTGTTCAGAAATGCAAATTGAATCAATCTGAGTCTGACTTTAAGACTTTTCAAGTGGGATTTAATTAGAAGCCAGGGCCTGCAGTTTTTAATGAGAGAGGGGGTGGAGAGATGGAGAAAGAGAGAGAGAAAGAGAGAGGCATGGGGAGGGAGAGTGGGTTGCGGTTTTGATCTGGGGGTCCTGCTGGAGAAAGGATACACAAACACCCACAACATACACACATACACACACACAAATGTACACACATGCACGCACACACACAAATGCACCCTGTAGAGCCGAGTATGAGGCGGATGCCCGCTGTTTGGTTTTTCTTCACTTCCCTCATCTCTGTCTTGTGAGAGTTCAACCAGAGATCTTGTTACTTCAGTATACATCTAAAACTCTCACACCAACCTAGCGTATCTCTGCATAGACGGGAGTGTAGCTTCATGCTGCTCTTCAGTGTTGGAGCTGCTCAACCTAAAAGACCTTAGGTTAATACTGGACAGCTCCCACACGTTAGGGCATGGTAAGCCATAAATTTGAAGCTAGTGCAGAAAACAGCACATATACCTTCACTGGATGAGTAAAAAACAATAATCCAGGTTTCAAGTTGTGGAACACTACTGAGCACTGTGTATATGTGTGATTCATACGTGCTTCTACTCACTATTCAATGATATCAGTTGTTGTTAAACCCTGCCTTTCAACTCTTTCATGTTCCTTATCCCCATGCTGGGTTACACTACTATAAATGTGTATGTGCAGATTTGTTATGTATATATGGCTAAACATGTATGAAAGCCACTAGTGCCAATAGCAGAGTTATTTAGAGTTATTTTTAGTTATTATAGTTATTTGAACAGATCTTGTAAACCCTTGTAAATGATTCTAGCAGACACCACTTCCCTCCAGAGAAAAACTGGTCAGAGATTTCACTGCCATTTGGCTATCACGTGCTAGGCCTGATACATTTTGGGGAAATATGGTGCTGTTAAAAAGGGTGAAGTCGGCCTGTGGTGTTG